GTGGCTTCCTTTTGGCTTCGGCTCCTACGACCAAAGAAAACTGAAGCATGGCGGTGCCTTGTCACTATGCCTTGTGTTTTAGCATGGTAACATAGTATAGTGACTAGTGGCGCGAAGTATCACTGGCAAAGAGAATCATCCAGAGCAGCCGCAGAGGAATCATTTCTCGTGCTTTTTTTGTTTTGGTATATGAGCATTTCATAAGACTACCTTGAAAGCCTCAAGATGTTCAGACCCGCTTGGCTTTGACCCCTCTTTGCATGATATACCTTATCGTTCCCAAGAGGTACATGTTATGTTGTATTCATGAACTTCGAACCATGAATATGCAAGCTTCGTGATAGGGACTCATCGTTCTGCTGCAACATTCGGCCTCACGCTACCCTTCTTTTCCTCTCTGGTCTTCTCTCGAATGAAAAGTCCCTGATATTCAACTGATATTCATCCAATAAACACAAAGGCCTTCTAGTCGCACTGCTGCCCAGAATTGTTATCTATGTTTAAGAATTCCCAAGGAAAGGCACCCCGCAATCCTGCTCTAGGAGGCTGGTGCCGCCGCATGCAGAAGGCAAGGCGCCTTGGCCACTACCAATGCACTCGAAAAAGTCCGGGACATTAAGCTGAAAGTCAAAGCAACTCCAAGTCAAAATGCTGAGTGTGACTCTAGTAAGTTGAAACTATGGCTGTGGAGCTGCGCGGAGAGCGAAGGAGAGCAGATGCAAGCAAGTTTGTTGGAGAGAGCTCAGATCTACCGGCTAGTTTAGGTTTCCATACTCTTTCCCTGGCAAAGATTTCCAACGTAGCCGTGGCCCACCAAAGTCTCCCCTACATACGAAACGCAGTATTCGTGCTTCTCCCGTCTCCATCGTTCATGCTTGTCCAAGGGGCCTGAATGTTGGGCTTTACACGCGAGTTGGATGAATGCTTGCCACCAGTGACACTTTGGAAGCGCGAGGGGTCCTCACGCTGAAACAAGTGGGCATAATTATGCACAGCAAGTCCTACGTATAATGCACTGCAAAAAATTAAGCAAGCGTCTTCTTCTTTCATGGCAGAGGAAGGATTCCATTGAATTCCAACAGTTCACATGGCAAGCCAACATCGTGCAGCTGCAGCTGCTGCGAAATAACAATTTCAGAGATGGTCAACGCGTAGCCTTACAGAGCAGAGCAAACCTGTCAAGTATCTCCTGATGAGTACTACTGTATCAATCAAGACGATCAGAATGACAGCTTGAGAGAGCAACACGTGAGGAACTAGTGACAGAAATGCTGCTCCACGTCGCACTCAACGTGCACTCTCCCGCGGCATGTGCGGGAGGATAATGAGAGGAATCCCTCCAACTGCCTTGAACAATCTCCTCAACGTTGACGCCTGCAGAGTCCTTGTAATAATTTCTCTCACGATTTTCAAGACATGAAACTTGCAGCAGTTTTCATGAGCGGAGCACGAACGCAGAGCTGGTGCAACAAGAGGCAGAGAACCTCAACTGGGACATTGGGAGCTTCAAGCTGAGCAAGTAGTGATTCATTGCTGGGGGTGTAGAGCGTTGGAATTGATGGGTATAGAACTCAAGCCTGAAGTCAAAGGACTCAAATTCTGTTCAGAGCCTAGGCACTAGGACAAAAAAAAATTGAAATCACCCCTTCCGGAACTTTAGATGATTCTGGCTCTGACTAAGACTATGGTCCATGCTGGTAAATGAGAGCTCCGCCATCAGCGCAGGAACCCGATGCGTGACATGTGAATTGTCATGATCCAAGGAAAGGCAGGCGCCATTGGCAGGTAAAACATCCTGCACCAAGTCCGCTGAATCCAGAACCCCACACCCCCCAAGCCTCAAGTGTGCCCGGAAACCGAACTCAAATTACCGGACTCTGGACCTGAACGCCCAAGAATCAGAACTCAAGACCTAAGGCCAAGAGCCCTACACCCTGACCTGTGCGATTACCCTCAACCCTGCACCCTATGCCCACCCAAAACCTTTGGAAACGCCCTCGATGCTAAGCACCGAACCCTGGACTCCAGGTTAAGGTTTTAGACCATCACTCTGAGGCCTCTGCTCTGTTCACGGGAACATGGAAGCTTGTCCCTCTGGACACCTCTACCGAAAAGTTCATGCAAACAATCGCAAGCATGCCTGGTGCCCAGGATCAACACAAGCACGGTCAGGAAATGCTGGTAATACCAAGGCTGGAGATGAATCTAGGAGGTTTCCTAACTTCTGCCAAACTCGAAATCGAGGGTTGATTGATTGATTGATTGATTGATTGATTGCCTGTGGGTCACGCGGACCCTCGCTTTGCAAGGCATCGACGGCTGCACCAACAGTTGCAGAGCAGCCCGGATAACATGTACAAGCACACAGCTACAGAGCAGCCCGGATAAGATGCACAAAGATGCGCAGCTGCACATCGCACTGCACCTACATCTACACATCGAAGAACTGAATATCTGCATACGTGCATAGTGGTTAAGGGCCCACACTTTCGCTCGGAGGGCTTCTGGCGTGGACGCGGCATTCTTCAAAAAATCTCTTCGTACAGTCCATATGAAGTTACCATATAAGGCAAGCATTGCCTTGTGGGCCATGGAGGGATGCTTTAAGAAGCTGCCTACCGGGCCAGAATTGAAAGATATGAAGATTGCAAGGTTCCAGTACCACAACTGCTCCTCTCCCAGTTAGTCTAGGCACAGTTCCACGGTTTTGCAAAAACTGAAGCCGATCCATATTCATGCAGATCGGTTATCATGGATGTGGCCTCGTAATCGAAAGGACCTTCCATGGCGGCAGCACCGACCTAGACGTGAGCATTCTCCAAATTTGCGTCTCCCAACATGCTGCCCCCATAAAGCCTTTGTACCATGTATATAGACTGGTGCAAGATTTTGGAAATCAGGCATTGAGGGATGGAGTGGGGGAGGGGCATGCTTTGGTGACTGCGACCGGATTATGTTTGAGGGTATTCAAAGGGCCGGGGTGTTCTCCCACTTCCAATAGAATCCCTTGACTACTTTCTCCATCTACCGCAGCAGTATTGGCGAAGATTGGGGTTCAGTCCTAGGGCGGCATAGCTGAAGGTTTGCTGGCGTCAGCGAGAGACCGACCATACCGAAGCTGAGCAAGCAATTGACAGGGGTCTGTCGGGGTAGCACAACAGTTTGGACTATGCTCACGCTTTTTGTGTGTTTTTTAGGTGCCGTTTTTTGACTTTCAAGCCCGATCATACTTGCAAATCACATTTTTGCTGCGGTTAGCTCCTGAGCTGCCCACAACAAAGAAACCATGTCATCAAATATCAGTAAGATTGGCTTTGAACGTACTTTGGCACTTCTCAAGGGGAGGCCGTAACTAAACATGGGTGCAAACTGCTTTTCACACTACCGTGCTTCTTGCCACAAGAAGCTATCTTGACGTTGAAATCCGAAAGTCGGGAGCCTGTCTTGTGGGGACGCGTATATCGCTAAGGGCTCAACGCGCCCCTCTGCAGTGTGCACCTCAAGCAGAGGCAGATTTGTTGTTCCGCCTTGAGGACTTAACGTTTGGGATTTGAGGTTCAGGGCTTAGGTTTAGAGGTAAAGTATTGAGCTAGCCTCGTGGGTAGGATTGCGGATTTACAATCTTCGAAGCCAGGGGAAGTGCAGCGAATTTATGACAGCAGCTCAAACCATATAGGGGCAGCTGCAGCACAGCCATTCCACTGAATGGCAACGTGCTACCCTCGATGTTTGAAGATTATGCCCTACAGTGACAGCGTCTGAGCTGAAGCCAAAACATACGGCCAAGGTGCCCTGCCAGATGCTAGGAAAAACCTTGTCAACTTGAAAATCTGCAACTCTGGACTCTGCACACCCAACCTAAACATGTAGCCAGGGGCACGGGGCGCAGGCAAAGCTGGATCTTCCAGTTGAGGTTAGCCATTTGAACCCCTAGATACAGCTCTTCCCCCGAGAGACTGTCATGACATCCTTCTTTGTTCCTACTCTGCCCCCGAGTAGTCCTTACTTTCCACTTCATGTCACGCTTCTTGCATCCAAGGCTGCGTCATGATGAGCCCATCCCTCCCCTCTCATCCCTGCCTTCACCATCCATGCGCGCAGCTCTCGCCAGGCCAACTGCCTGGGTGTGTGGCAGTTGCATCGCATCAGCTAGTGCTTGAAAGGCTTGAACATGTTTTTTTCTGGACTTTACGGAATGAGGGCGCAGGATTTGGGAGTTTAAACTTGTCAGGCTCCAAGTTAAATGCCTTGCCAACCCACTCACGGCCCGCCGACCTGCTCTACACTAAATCCGCGGACGTTCCTAGACCTGCTTATGTGCTAAACGGGGCATGCTAGCATGCAGGAAGTTGTCTCTGCAATGCCATAGGAAGGGGAGCATGCTCAAAATTGCTTGAAGACTCTCGGTCTTTGTGACGTTGAACCCGACAGGCCGAACGCTACACCTGTTGCCTAAAGCATGGAATGGGTCCAATGAGCCTTACACCCTGACTCCTCTCACTAGGCCTTCGTGGGCAAAGAATAGATTGTATAGGCTGTTTATAGGGATTACGTTCCCTTTTCCCTACTAAGAGTCAGTAAGTTATATTTCCAAGCAGATTCATCGCGCAACATGCTGGGAGTCTGGCGCCATTTCCTTCACCGACTCGAGCTCTGCCTCGCAAAAGGAGGGGTTCGCAATTAGATACCTCAAACATGACCAGGCTCCTCATTGCAGATCGTTCTTCCCGAAAAGGGGCCACAATTTTGAGCATCTCTGTATAAATCCTTGTCAGGTTGCCGTTGTTATTAAGAGGTTTACGTAGAATTTTACGAACAAGGATTCATGGAATAGGGTTCCCTCATGGTTGTATCCGCACAAGGCCAGAAGGCTGGCTACCCTGGCAAAGGAGGGGTAGCGAAACTGGCATGCCAAACCACTCCAGGGAAACAAACCATCCAACAAACGCAGCCCCGAGAAACAAGCCCTCGCGCATAACAAGTCTCCCAGGTTGCTCAGCCTTGAACTCGATGGCATCAAGGATGAGCCAGGTGTTAGACCTGTCGCAGAGGCAGGCTTGCAAACGCGTATGACAGTCCGAAGTTTTGCTGCCTGAAAAGTGGCAAGGGTTGCGGTTCCATTGTTCATGCATTCGATTCTCGCAAGGAGGGAGAAACCTGCAAGCTGGATCTGAGTCTGTACAAGCCTGCGCCTCACTGGCGATAGCACTCTGACATAAAGCCTCAACCGTTCAGCGGCAGCTCAGCTGCAGGCCCAAGGTCTGTGTGCAGCGTCAGCGCATTTCCCCACGAGGGGCTTGTGAACCTTGTCTTCTGTCTTCGGCTAGGCTTCACTTTGCAAAGAAGGGCTTTTTGCACTTACATACTGTACCTCGATTGAGATGCTGGCACACACCCACAGGAGCATTAGAGAAACGCGTCTGCAAACATCATCGGCATCGCCTCAGCCATCGCCATCTTCCTGTAATCGTCATTGTCCCTGTCATTGCTGTCGACGTCATTTCGTTCATCACCATCAACATGGTCATCACCAGTATGACACTATGAGCCTTCTCCACGCAAGAACGCGGTCCATGTCATGGCACCTGTGACATGACATCATCCACATGGATAACCAGTGCATGCCAGTTGGCTGTTCGGATGAGCACCACTACTCCCACCCCTCAAACAACAAACCATCACACCTTGTCTCAGTCATGCTCGCAGCTCCTGAACCCTAAATTCTTAACTCTGCTTTCTAAATCCCAAGCCACTTAAGTTGGGCGCGGCACTCCACATGATTCAGGCTACGCCGCTTGTGTGGGTTCATGGCCTAATCGGAGCACGAAAGGGCTTAGGTCAAGGCAGCTTGGGTTTGAGGTGTATGGTTCGAAATAAGCGATTGAGGTCCTCAAAGGGTTGTTGGGGTTGAGCTCGCATTTGGGGCGCCTGTCCACCTACCCTACATTGCTGAACTCTGCAAACCGTTACCATGGAGCATCCTTGCCTTGGGCTTTCATTTCCTGATTACATGGCTCTAGTACTTTAGTATCCCCCTTCATAAGCCCTACAATGGTCCCCTATATTATTCCCTATAACCCCTTTTAAGGAGTTTAGACTATACCTCACATCCCTTCTCTTTTACTCCAGCCAAGGTTCGGAGAAGACTTTCGCACTCAGAAGTTTCCACTTTCTTTTCCATTATCCCGTTATAGCTCAATATTACCCCAATATACTATAGTAGTTTCCAGTCTATTTTCCATTATCCCAATATAATCCCCTATATACTATCTACAACATCCATGATCTTTGCGGGCCACCATGAATCAAGTGAGGTTATGTCTCAAAAAGTGATATCCCAGGCACCCCATTGGAAAGGCCAAGAACTGTGGACACCCAACCCAAACACACCAAACAGATAAAGGAAAAGGAACGCCAATCCTTCGGCTTGGCTTTAGCTGCAAGCACCCCACCTGCATGGACATGAGGATCTGGATCCAACCGGACCACAACTCGCCGCGCAGACGCGGTGATCGAATGATCTCCCACCTTGGCGGATCAGTGGCGTGCTTCTGTGGGTGTTCAGCATTTTGGGTCCTGTTCGCTTCGGATCAGGATCCAGTAACATGGCCCCGTCACAGCACCAAAGCGTCTGCAAGATGATATACGATGGAGCGTTTGGGTCTAGAGGTTTTGCTTTGGGGCAAAACAGTGGTCCTCTTCAAAGGCCCACCCGTGGGTGTCGCTAAGGACCCTTTGTTGGCACACCACCTAGGGCAATGGCTACCAACTGGCTTACACCAAAATCCACCAGCGTGCACAACCAAAGAAACGATGATGTGCTTGAAGTCGGTGCAGGGTGGGTGGACATACTTGGTATGATGGCTTGTTAGGGGTTGGACCTTGTAAAGCAATCATTAGGAGGAGTTCGCCAGACTTTACACTTAGCTGGAGCGCTAAGCGACACACGCAACGTCCGAGTGATCCAGCACATAGAGCAAGTCCATGGAGCACCTAAGCAGTGTTGCTCTTAAAGGCGGAAATAGAGCAAGTCCAGGTACAAGTCCATGTTCCTGGTCCTCTCTCTTGCAAGGATCGCAAGCAAGCCAAGGCCCAACTTCAACGGGGAATCCTTTCATATTGCGTCATATCACTACTCTCCTAGGTCCTAGGAAGCACCTCACTGCTGGCCTGGTGACGGAGATTTGGAGTTTGGTTTAAGGCCAGTTTCAGGACAGGAGCTTTTGACAACCTAAGTAAGACTGAAGTTGATAAGAGGGGCAGTATGCGGCAAGATCCATAGCTACTTTCTCCCCCGTGGTAGCACCTACATGCGAACTCTGGCGGTGGTCAATTGAATCACCTTTTAGACAAGATATTACAACAAGTACTGAGCCCACGTATGGCAAAGTCTCTCAAGGCAACTCTTCTCCTGAAATTGTCACATGTTTGAGCAGCTCGAATCCGGAACAGATACTGCTTCTTGCAGACCGAGCATTAGAATCATGAGAATGACAGGCCTCCCATCCAAGTTGAATGGATGACCGCCTTCAAGAAAAAACACTGTGGAAAAGCTTCTTTTCTCTGGATTCTAGATGGTACGTTGGCGTTGGCTCTATGTAGCTTTCCAGGCACTAGGAGGCGCTCTGCGAGGTTCCAACAACAAGGATTGTAGTTGTTGGGGTTCTATGTTGGCATCCCCCTGCTTTATGAAAAGTAACATATCACCTTCATTGTGAAGACTCCCAGAAGTGGCGCATGAAGTTGAAGCATCCTCATGTCAATCTCAGTCGAGCGCTACTATGACCCTTCTCCACAGTGCCGGCTGCGCAAAAGAAACGCACCCAACAATGAATGCTTCGACCCCATATCCTAAACCAGCTGTGTATGGCAAGGTGAGGCATCAGCTGAATGATCTCGTGATCACGGAAGATGTTCGACTCGTGGTTGAAGACGGCCGGCTCAGCATCCTGCAGAAGCCTGTAGTAAGGGATACTGCAACACAGGAGCTTGAGGGCGGCACGTTGGATTTGGGCCCGGGGGGGCTTGAGTGTTAGGCATATAGAGGTGTAGTCACGATGTGCTAGCGCGCTTTGAATATTTTGCTGGCGCAACCGTGTCCTTATCGGGCAAGGTAGGACGAGAACCCAACGAGCTTGATTTTGACAAGCTAGATAAATGCATTCTGCAGAACTCCCATGTGAGCTCTACTGGAGACTTGCATGAATGATGAAAAATCTCTGTACGTGATTTAATTGAAGTTCCATACAGCTCGCATAATCCTCGCTTACACGTTGAGCACTTGGCGAGCGAGTATTTCTCTCCACTTTCAGGGAAAACATACGCCCACAACATGATCTCGGGCGTAAGACCCCAAAGAAGACCCAATTTTGGGAACCCTAGTGTATGCCGGACCTGTTCTGGGGTCTAGATTTCAGAAAGTCCCATTGCAAAGTAATCCAAAACATATCGGACTGCGACATGCTTCCTCGCCAACAAACAAGAGGACATGCGACAGCATTTTTGGATGGGAGCATGCCCATCGTCCACTTCTCTACACACGAAGCATGTTTTCATTGCCCATGGCACCTAAAAGACAACACCAACAAACGCAAGATTGATAAAAGCAAGGCAAAAATCTCTTGAAGTTAGGCTTGGAACCCTAGACCTAGCTCCCAAGAAACCTAAGACATGAACCATGCTTAGGAAGCACAAGCACCGAACGCTGGGCGAAGAAGCCCCCACAAGCACTCCAGCCTTGACTTTTGCTCGGGTCGGAAGTGTGAAGTGAAGTTGAGGGATCATGCGCAGGTTTGGCACTGTTGGTAGAGAATCCCGTATCCCCCTTGTAATACCGTAAAGGGTTGAAAAATATCCGGCTTGGCCTGGAAGCATGCACCCTTGGTGCGTGTCCTTCCTTGTGAACAGATGTAGTAGGTCTACATGATTGCTACAACACCTTGCAGGTAGCAAAAGGTCAAGGGTCACACTGAATAAATGTGGCCCAGTGTTCCAACCACAGAAGACGAGATCATAGATTCTTGTCCACTGAGGCCTAGGTACAGACGAGACCCAGCCAACATACCTTTCTGCGGCCACCCCGTCTTTCCGCTGGGATGCTCTGGGTAGGTTCCTGTAAAGCATGCAACTTGGATTTTTGCGCGGAGCCCTAATCCCGAAACTCTTCCCAATTGGACCTTGACAGCGCTTCCCCGCGGGGACCCATTGAACGTCGACCTTGGAGCCAGGCAAGGTCTTCACCAGGTCCTTGTCGCGCACCAGCTCCATGGTGACATCCTCCAAATAGTTGGGCGCCCGATCTAATTTGCTCTAAGCGATCAAGGCAGGCCAATTCTTGTAAGGTATCTGATTTTCCGCCCACGTCCTTTAGATTTATCATGGCAATCACTGTGCATCGCTCAGCTTAGTTTGATTGGAGCTCTGACGTCTGTGCGACGGAAGAGCGAATGTCGGCAAACCTAGGGGCCAAAGCCAGAACCTTGATTTTCGCGAACACTCCCGCATCCCCAAACAAGAAGCCCAAAAGCAACTGAGACCTCAAGCCCGCAACCCTGTCCAGGGGTGGACGGTCCTGTCTTGTGAATATCTGGCACGTGAAATCTCCCAGCCTGGGCAGAACATGGTTCAAACATTTACATTCTAGCCACCAGCATGCTATCCGCAGGATGTACATGTGCAGCACATGTCCCACTCACTCTCTACTGCAGAAGTGTTCACAACTGTTTTGGCAGGAACATAGCACACGCGCAACATCCAATCCAGTCAGAGCGCTATGTGAGTCACACTGGCAGGCGACGCAACACTAGACTGGCACTTCTTCCAAAGAAGTCGGAGTCTGGCCACAACGAGGCTCCGGTTAACATCAACTGGCAGCGCTAGGGCTTTGATCCAGCTGTCCAGATCCTCCAGGCTGACAGCTATGAGACCAAATTCCTCAGGCGTAAAGACCAACAGGTCATCATAGAGCGCCTGAGGGATATTGCACGCTGCAATCAGGGCCCCCATATCAGCAGATGTTTCCGCGGAAGCTACTGCCCAATCCTCATGCCCATCAACCGGCATGAGCGCAAAATCGCCCCACTCCTGATCCATGGCCTCAGAGCAAGAAGTCCTCAGCTAGGGCAGGTGAGACAGGTACTACTCAAGACAAGGTCGCGTGGCACCAGGAGCCAAGAAGTCTTACTGCGTGGGGATAAAGGGTCAATACGCTGTCGTGTGAGATACAAGGAATGCTTGGCACTCCACTCATGCAAAGTCGCACACGCAGACTTCCAAACACATGGTACGCAATCATGGGTTAACACAAGGACAAGTAGACTGATTACGAGAAACACATGAACACTCTGCCCACATCCAAGGCGCCGCAACATCACAACAACACGTAAGACGCATGACCTAGCCCTCATCATCACACTCCTCTACAGACTTAGCACCGCACAGAAAGAGAAAGCATAACTCTTTTCTTCGGGGCAACCACCAGCCAGCATTTGAAACTGGTCTCAACACAGCAGCAACTGCTACTGCAGCAATGGACAGAAGTCCAACACCCTAGAGGGCAGCCAGGAGCAAGCTAGACTCCAACACAGTAGCAACCGCTACTGCAGCAATTGACAGAAGTCCAAACACCCAGTGGGCAGCCAGGAGCAAGCTAGACTCCAACACTGTCATTGTCGGCAAGCTAGACCCCAACACAGTAGCAATCGCTGCTGCAGCAATGGACAGAAGTCCAAACACCCAGAGGGCAGCCCGGGGGCATCATCGCCTGCCCTTGTCGGCAAGCTAGACCCCAACACAGTAGCAACCGCTACTGCAGCAATGGACAGAATTCCAAACACCCAGTGGGCAGCAAGGGGGGCACACATAATCGCCTACCAACTTTTTTTTATAAGGCAAGCGTGTGTAAGTTTCAGACGCTCAGTATACTCTTAGGCTTCGCTCACTTGCCTGTTGCGAAGGCACAGGCACCCTGGACGAAGGCACAGGCGATCATTCGGGGCCGGCTCAGGAACAAGGTAGCGGGCTGCTAGAATGCTACCGCAGACTGTCCTGGAGCTGACCTGACAATCCTCACTGCATAGTTGCTTGCAAGTGATATATTCCTGCAGGGCTTCTGACCCATAGACATTCATCTGGGACAGTGTCGAGAACTGGCGCAGCCTCGGGCTCCTCTTCACTCTCCTGAAAGGCTTCAGGGACAATGCCATCACTGCGCTCAACGCGGACACATGGCTGCACAAGCATGGGCACGTCGTTCTCCTCTGGCGCTGGACGCACAGTCTTTGCCGGAGCAACTGACACAGACTCTCCAGCAGGCGGCTTAGGCACATGCATGTCGTGCGCTAGGAAATAGGAGAAGGCAGGATGCTCAGAGGCTTCGGTCACCTCTGGCAAGGCGAGCGAAAGAGGCTTAGACGGAATGGGGCGCTGAGCACCACGGGCAACGGGCGTGACAGGCAACCAGCCCTTGGCCAGGGCTTGCAGATAGGCATCTTGGACCAGCAGTGTGGGACCAAT